GTAGGCACCAAAAAGCCCTATTAGTTTTGGCACCTATATAAGTCCAACTAGTATAGGTTTTGCAAGCACTTAAAAAGTCCTACTGGTTATAAAGGCATGGCTAGCACCTAAGAAGTTTAGTCGATTAGTGAATATCCTTAGTGGCGGTTTGGTTATAAAGGCATGTGCATTTTTCATTTCTTTTGCTTTTTAGCTTGCAGTTCATTTTCATTTGTGCTAACTAACTCATAACAGCAATACCTAGACATTGGAGCACAAAGTGATGGCCTCTAAAAGTTTGTATACATATTTAATGTCAACCTGTGACCTATCATCAGGTTAAATGGGTCAGCAGTTTGATCAGTTGAGTCAAATGGTTTTTTAACAAATTTTGAGTTTTACTAGAATTAGAACTAAAATGATGGCCAATAACAGTTCAAATGGTTTAATCGGTCGGGTCAATGCCAGGTTGAAAACACTACACTCAGAAATCTATCTACAGTTGTAGAAGCCTTGAGAAACCTACAATTGTAAGCCTTTGCTATTGCCTAGGAAGTCTAGCTGGTTTGATTAGTGAAAATCCTCAGAAGATGTCTAAGGTAAAGGACATATGTAGGGATTTCTACCGAACCTTAATAAAAATCTTATATCCTCCTCTTTGTGTTTTTCTTACTTTATCTTTTCTTTACTTTCAAGTTTTTGTAGTTTCTTTGCTACTAACATTCAATAATATTTCGGTTATCCGCTTAAACTTGAATATTTGAAGATCTTGGTGTTAGTGCACTTTATTTGTTCATTTTCTTTCAAACTTCAAGATACAAATATTTGAGTGATGTAATTGTGATCACTAACCCTACTAATTGCACTAACTTTACATTTAGCAGTTTTTGTATTTCATTACTACTAACTTCTACTAATTGTTAACTGCTAACGTTTAGTTTCTTTGCTTTCCATTTATGTAATTGTTTACATTACTACTTTATTTATTATTCAAAAATATTATTTATTTTTAACAATTAAATTGTCCTTGAGATTCTGGTAGTAGTTCTTCAACTACTTGAATCTCAAGTTGATTATTATTAAGTAGTTGGTCTTTTTTATAGCTACCATCTTGTGCTTGGTCGTAAATCTCTAGCTACAAAAATTAGTACACACTTCTTGTGCAAAGATCATTTACTTTTCAAGTTCATCTATTTTCAACTTCAATTACTTCCTATAAATTTTTGAATTTATTGTTTATTCTTTACTTTAACTGCAACTCCATTAACACTTACAATAGCTTTCATATTTGATTGTTACAATTACTTTCAACTACTAATCCCCTGTAAGTATATATTGTGATTTTATTATTTACTTGTTTAAAGTTGCAACTTGTTATTTAGGAGTAGGTTGATTGTATAGATCAATCATTTAATTTAACCATTGAACATTCTAACTAAGAATTTATTCCATTGCAATTTATCTTGAATCTTGAAGATGGCTTAGCTTCAGATATGTGGGAAGGTGTTAAGCTTAAATAAATCAAGTTTTTAAAGCTATACCCAATTCACCCCCTTCTTGGGTAAGGCAATCAATCCCAATAGGGTTAACCTTCAGAGAAGCTTAAAGGTGAATGGTGATGTTTGGTTATTGTGGGCAATCTAAAATCCAAAGGTTTTCAATGAGGAGAGTAAAAAATAGAGTCTAAGATTAATGGTGGCTGAAATTATGAAAAGAAAAGATGGAACTTGGAAATTTAGGATTTGAGTGTGTTTAGATTTCATTGCTAAAGTTTGATGAGTTCTGTAATTGGTTAGAAGAGTATATTTGGGGCTTGCAAGTTTTGATAATTCTGAAGGGTTGAAAAGGAATCTTTGTTTGATAATGGGTAAAAGGTGAAGGTTGGAGGTAGGATTTTCTAGATAGTGATCTAGAGGTGTCTAGATGTCTTTAGTGTAGTTTGATTAGTTTTAAACTTAGGACAAAGGGGTAGATCTGGGATTTATAGGTTTAGGTCAATAAGGAGTATTGAAATGGAATTTTGGCTTTGATGGTATGGAAATGGCAATGTTTTTGAGGTGGGATTTAATGAATGAGAATCTTGGACTGCTTGGAAGTTATTGGTGGAACTTGAGAAGTTCTAAAGTTGGATTAGAGGGGTAAATATTAGATTTAATGGTTTCAGTCATTGAGGGGATTGAAATAGAATCTTAGTATGGTGATGGTTCAAATGGTGGAGATTAGAAGTGGGACTTGGAAGATGGAGATTTAAGGGTGTTTGGATTCCACTGGTAGTATTTGAGAAGTTCTAAAGTTAGATCAAATGGGTATATTTGTGAGTTGCAAGCTTTGTTCAATGGGGAGTGTTGAAAAGGAATCTTTGAGACCTTGAGCTAGAGAGAAAGAGAGAGGAGGGGAGAGAGAGAGAGAGAGAGAGTGCCCGCCCACCCACATAAGTTTGAAAAACTTAGGGTATAGTTTGAAATTTTGAAAAAAAATGAAGGAAAAAAGAGTCACAAGTGCTTATTGAAGTTCTTACTAGAAAAAAAAAAAAAAAAAGACCACCAAACTCCCAATATAAAATAAGTGTTTAATCTTTAAAATAAGCACTTAAAAAAGTTGGGTGCCAAATGTAAATAAGTGTTTATTCGAATAAACACTCCCAAACATGGCCTAAGTTACATGCCAATAATGATTATAAGAACAAACGATTGTTTTGTGGCTACTTAATTTTGTTTATAAATTAAATGTGTTTCTTTTCCCTTCACTTAGCTTTATGAGTTTTAATATAAAAATGAATAAAACAAACTTTGTTTAACTTAGTCTTAACTCTTAAGCAAGTGGATATATATGAGAGCAACTTAAAATCCAAAGACATATATACTACATACATTTAACACTTGTTGATGAAAATTGGGGTTGTGACACTTAGCCCCCCAAAGTTTCATTTGCAATAGACCCATCCTGAACTTTCAAATTCCAACACTTTGCCCCTATCTTGTTAACATACTTGATAGTAAAGATTAAATTATTAAAATGCCCATTCAAAGTCCTGTATTCTTTTGTATTTTCCTCTTTTTCTTTTTCTACAATTTTCTATATTTTTGTTATATTTTCTTAAATTCCATTTTGTTTTATTTTTTCTGTTTTCAATATTTTCTTGTTATTTTCTTCCTCTTTTTCTTGGTTGTATGTTCTACAATTTTCTACTTAATTGTATTTCATTATATTTATCTCTTTTTTCTTTAGTTTTTTTTATATTTTTGAATTTTCTGAAATTCCCTACTTTTCCCCTATTTTCCACTTTTTGTTATAATTTATCAATTCTATAAAAATAGTCTCATGAAATGAAATAAGGGTAACTTAGGGGTTTAAAAATGTTTAAATATGTGCATAATAACAGTCGCAAGAGAGTCATTTGTCAAGTTAACTCACGGAATACTAATGGTGAGGGCAACGTGTGAGAATATAAAAATTGGATGGGTCTTTGCTACAATTAAAAAGTTTGGGGGGTTAAGTACCACAATCGTAAGAATACAGGGCAGCGCCTACTGAAGCCCAGCTTAGAATTCTTTAGCCTAGACCTGTTCATGGGCCGGGTGGCCCGACGGGCCGGCCCGGCCCGGCCCCTGGACGGGCTTGAACATGTTTATAGGCCCGCAGGCTTAAATTCAGGCCAAAAAGCCTGGCCCACAATAAATTCGAGTCGGGCTCGGGTTTTGTCAAAATAGCCCGGCCCAGCCCGACCTAAAACTAGACTTAAAATGGGTTATGTGATTATATGTCCATTTGAATAAATTTTTTGATTTAAGAATGTAAAACTGTGTTTTAAAACATAAAAGAAAGGGGAAAAACCATCTTGTAGGCCCATTGTTCATTCAAATAGGAAAAAAAAACATATAAATTTTTAATTCTAATTTGAATAGGAAAAATTATAATTTTTTTTATTAGGTTGGGCTTCAGGCTCGGGCTCGGGCTTCGAGCTTTTTATCAGGGCCGGGCTTGGGCCCAAGTTATAGGCCCGTTGGTCGGGCCGGGTCGGGCCTAGCGTATTTCCATTAATGATGAGTAAAAGCCCGGCCCGGCCCATGAACAGGTCTACTTTAGCCCCACCCTATAGGGTGATGAACCCTGACCGTGGATTAATGCCAAATCCACGAGCAAGATGCGGTTTATAGGAGGGCTACTAGTAGGCTATGGGGGGATGTAATTCAGAATTTCGCAATGAGCTGCAAGGTACTTTTCCCCCAAAAAAAAATCTAAAATCTAACTTTTTCATTGAGATTGAGTTCAATCCTCGGTACTCAAAATTGGACCAAAAAAACCGGGAACCAGTCCATTTTACCCTAGAACTGCCTCTTGGCCAAAAACTGTTCATTTGGTCAACAAATCGTTGACCCTGGGCATTCGAATCGTTCAAATCATCTAATATTTTTTCTTTTAATTTTTTTGTCAAAATAGACTGTATGTTCAATTTGAATAGTTAGATCGTTCGACCCAAGAACCGAACCCCTGAACGGTTCATTGTCTGGTTCAATTTTAAAAACCTTGGTTGCAAGTGACTATGAGAATTAGAGAAGGGTGTGAGCATTGTCTTGTGAGGACTAAGGACGGACCTATCCGATGGGAAACGAGATCTGCTCCTCACACGGGGACGCCTCACGTGCACATTCACCGTGCATTGGGAACATCTCCCGTGAATAATAACTTATAAGTATGGAAGATGTTACCAATGCATGGTACGATGTGCGTGTGAGGAGTATAGGGGCATTGAGACAGGTGGCAAGTTTTGGGGACGTGGAGAGTATAGGGGCATTGAGAATACTTTGGCTGTTGCCTATTGGCGCCCGAGTCTCTTGAAGAGTGTTTTTTCCTATGACACATCAACCCATTCAGACCCTTTTTTATTTTTTTGATAAAAATTTATTAAATGCAATTACTCTTTTGCCCCAAACCCATGCTTATCAACAGTGTAGACCGTTGGCCTTCATCAGCCAAAGTTTTTTTCACGTGCATTAATTACTCGTAGTCGTAGCCTTAGCATCAATTTCCATTCGCTCCAAAATTCGAACTAAGAGCACTACACGGATCTTCTTCTTTCTTCTTTAAATTAAACATGTGTGTTAGTGTTAAGGAGCCTTCTGTTCCACCTTCTTTCTTCTCTCCTTCAGATTTCTACGCAACCCTCCTCCAGACAAGCCTAAAGACGAACATCCCGATTGCTGGAAAATCGATTCATGCTCGAATTATCAAAACTGGGCTTCACCTCGGCGTGTTCTTAACGAACAATCTAATCAATTTCTATGCCAAGGCTGGATCAGTTTCTGATGCCCATAAGTTATTTGATGAAATGCCTCTGAAGAATACGTTTTCTTGGAACACGATACTCTCGGCTTATGCAAAACAGGGGAGGATGGATGTAGCGTGTCGGATTTTTGAGGAAATGCCTGATCACGACTCGGTTTCATGGACTACGATGATCGTGGGTCAGAACCAACTACGTTGCTTTCATAATGCCATTTGGATGTTCCTAGAGATGATTTGGTCTAGAGTTCCACCCACCAAATTCACATTTACAAATATCCTTGCCTCCTGTGTGGCCCTGGGAGATTTGGATTTAGGCAGGAAGGTTCATAGCTTTGTTGTTAAACTTGGGCTAAGTAGTTACGTTCCTGTTGCAAATTCCCTTCTCAATATGTATGGAAAGTCTGGGGATCCGGTGACAGCAAAAGTTGTTTTCGATAGGATGAGATTGAGAAGCATATCAAGCTGGAACACAATGATTTCATTGCACACACAATATGACCGATTTGATCTCGCTCTTGCCCAATTTGAGCAGATGACAGAGCGAGATGTTGTTTCTTGGAACGCTATGATTGCAGGTTACAATCAGCATGGACATGATCTAGAGGCAGTACATTTCTTCTCAAGACTGCTGAAAGAATCTTCTACAATGCCGGATAAGTTCACCTTAGCTAGCACTCTGTCGGCATGCGCCAATCTTGAGATGTTGAAACCTGGGATGCAAATACACGCTTACACCTTCAGAACAGGACTGAATATTTATGGACCAGTTCAGAACGCTTTGATCTCTATGTACTCCAAATCTGGTGGGGTCAAAATTGCCAGAAAAATAGTCGAGAAAAGCATGACCACCAATCTCAATGTGATCTCATTTACATCTCTACTTGATGGCTACATCAAACTTGGGGACATAAACCCTGCAAGACAGATCTTCGACTCATTAAGAGACCGCGATGTGGTTGCATGGACTGCCATGATTGCAGGCTACGTGCAGAATGGCTTTAATAAGGATGCAATAGATCTCTTCAGATTAATGGTGGATGAAGGACCCAAGCCAAACAACTACACCCTAGCAGCCATGTTGAGTGTTTGTTCAAGCTTGGCTTCACTGGAACATGGGAAGCAGATCCATGCCAATGCCATAAGGTCAGGAGAAGACTCGTCAGTTTCTGTAGGCAATGCCCTCATCACCATGTATGCCAAGGCTGGAAACATTGAAGGGGCAAGACGTGTGTTCAATCAGATTCACTTGAACAGGGATACTGTATCTTGGACTTCCATGATCATAGGTTTAGCTCAACATGGTCTTGGAGAAGAAGCAATAAAACTGTTTGAAATGATGCTGGTTTTCGAAATCAAGCCTGACCATATAACATATGTTGGTGTGATCTCTGCCTGTACACATGCAGGTTTGGTAGAACAAGGCAAGAACTATTTTACTTTGATGCAAAGCATACACAGGATTAATCCCACCCCAAGCCACTATGCATGCATGATTGATCTGTTTGGACGAGCTGGGTTGCTTGAAGAAGCTCAACATTTCATTGAGAAGATGCCAATCAAACCAGATTCTATAGCCTGGGGTTCACTTTTAGCTTCTTGTAAGGTCCACAAAAATGTAGAGCTGGCAAAAATTTCTGCAGAGAATTTACTAAGTATAGACCCAAATAACAGTGGGGCCTACTCGGCACTAGCTAATGTCTATTCTGCATGTGGAAGATGGGATGATGCTGCTAAGATCCGGAAGTTGATGAAGGATAGGGGAGTAAAGAAAGAACAAGGGTTCAGTTGGGTTATAATAAATAATGAAGTCCATATATTTGGGGTTGAAGATGGACTCCACCCACAGAAAGATGCAATCTACCAGATGATTGCAAAACTCTGGAAGGAGATCAAGAAAATTGGTTTTGTTCCAGATACAGAATCAGTATTACACGATCTTGATGAAGAGGTGAAAGAGCAGATATTAAGCCACCATAGTGAGAAGATTGCAATTGCATTTGGGCTGATAAGTACTCCAGAAAATACAACATTGAGGATCATGAAGAACCTTAGAGTATGTAATGACTGCCACTCTGCCATCAGGTTTATCACCAAGGTTGTGGGAAGAGAAATCATCCTGAGGGATGCTACTCGGTTTCACCATTTTAAAGATGGATTATGTTCGTGTCAGGACTACTGGTAAGAAAGAAATATCAGTGTAAATCTATGGATTTTGGAGGAGGAATTTAGGCCTCATTGAAATACAAAAATGTGCCGTTTATACTAAAGGACATCCAAAAATTGAAGTTCTCCTGTTAACATAAACCATTTCAAAGATGGATCATGCTCTATCAAGATTACTGGTAAGAGAAAAACAAATATCACTCTACATCAATGGATTTTGGGGAGGTGACCTCATTGAAGTACAAAAACATACCATTTATGTTAAAGGACAAAAAATGAAGCCTTGATATTAAAATACCTTGGGACTAGGCATATTATTGTGCTGTGTTTCAAGGTATCTTTGCTTGCATTGCTGCAAATGGAATTGAAAGAAGGTAACAAAAAGGGTTCTCTGGTATACAACATGGGCCACCATGTCTTTCTTGGATTCAGCTTGAAAGGTAAGATATCCATTTATTTTGATTCATGCAAAGTTTTGCTTTCCTTTCTATACTTACTTTTTCTTTGCATCTCTTTCTCTATCTCTGTAATCATGTTTGAATTGTAAATCACACCTGCAATAATCTGAATTAAAAGAAAATAAATAGGAGAAAAGAAGGAGATTGAAGAGAGAGAAGTGATGGAGGAAGAAGATGGAAGAAAAGGAAGAAGAAGAGAGAGTAATTCTAAACCTCTCTTCAGACCCCAATAATCTTTTTTATTCTTTTGTTGTAACAAATAAGGACAATTACATGAGTGTCCTTAGTAGGGAGTCCATCACTAAAGGCAACAATGAGAAAACAATAAAAAAAGAGAGAACAGGCCCATAACTAAGGCCCACTACCTACTAACACAAGTCATAAACATGACTTAAAAGAAAAACAAAGAAACTAAGGCTCATTCGGTCCATTATCTCACTACAAAAAATATAATTTCTAGTGGCAGTTTTTAAGGTGGCAGAAAGGTGAGTGCCGCTAGAAATATCGGTTTTTAGTGGCAGTCAATTAAAAGGCAGAGCGACTGCCACTAGAGCAAAGGCGCGGGCTGGGTAGGGTTTTTCACTTTTCCTCCCCTACGCCTCTTCCTCTTCACATTTCGTCTTCCCATCTTCTTCCCGCCCTCTCCATCTCTCTCCTCTCCCAGTCGACTCTCTCTCTCTCTCAGTCCCACATTGGTAGATCTGAACGGAATCTTATTGGACCTCATTATTGATTCCATTTTCTTTTCTGTTTCCAAATGTTTTTCAATTGTAATGTGAAGAATCCGACCTGGGTGTCTATCACGTATAGGATCTTTCTCTGCATCAATTGTTCCGCTGCTCATCATAGCCTGGGTGTTCACATCAGCTTTGTGAGTAAATCAATTCACCGGTTAGGGTGTTTTTAAGTTTCAAGCTATGATTTAGGATTTTCCTAATCCATTTTTCCTGCTATGGTGGATAAAAAAATTGTAAAACAGTTTCTCAGCATTGTTTCATTTCTCTTGAGTTTTGCCTTTTGTCGATAATTTAAGCTAATGTTTTCCATGGATCGGTACATGGATATAACTGATATTTGGAGTTTGCCTTCAAATTATCTGGCAGTGGTTGCATGATTTGAGAATTTGTTTTTAGCAGGCCTTGCATGCACAGGATATTGAACCAAATCAACTAGGGGCATATTATCTTTGTATTCAATTTTTATTTGTGAGTATATAAGTTAATGAAAGGGATGGTCAGGCCTAATTTTAGCTTCTCCCATTATCATTAATTTCTTTCCTCTTTTCTTCTCTAAATAAACCTTCTCTTTCTTTTTCTCTTTCTTACACAGGTTTTATATCAAAACAAATCTTCTAAACTTTTCTATTAGAAACATGATTCGCAATAGCACGGATACCTAAATAGGCATATGTAGATGAAGAGGGAATTGTCTCTGATGAAGTAGTGTTGTACCAATAGATAGGGGTGAGTAACAAAAACCGAACAAATCGATTTGGTTTTGGTTCGGTGTTTTTAAAAAATTGAAGGTACCAGTTTGGTTTCGATTAACCAATATAGAAAATCAATAGTTAACCGAACCAACCGGTATACATATATTTCTATATATTTTATATATACTTGTATATTTTTTATATATTATAAATTATTAAATATGCATTATATCTATAAATATATATTTATAATTTTTATTATATATTTATATATTTTTATAATATATATTGTAAAAATTAAAAAACTGAAAAACCGATGAACTGAACTAACAATTAACCAAGTTGGTCAACTGGTTAACTAGTTAGCTTTGGTTCAGTTTTGATTACTAGTTTTCAAAAAACTGGTAGTACCAGTTTAGTTCCAAAAAAAGTCCCACAGTTTGGTTAACCAAACCTTGAGCACCCTTACCAATAGACTCCAGGTGGCTACATTTACATTTTCATTGTTTGCATTCTTGAGTCTAGTAGGTATAAGCTCTGGATGCAATTTCCATTATGTGTCTTTAGTATGTTTATGTTTCTTACATTATTCATTAACATCTTTCTTCCTAGTGTTGACCTTCGGCTTCATCCCAACATTAGCATAGTGATCCATCTATGGCTCTATAGACTGAACTTGTCTCCTGCTCTCTTCACTACTCACCATAGCATAAGCCTGGGATAAAGTCACCTCATCTTTCGCCAAAACATTTTGTCTCACAATATCATACTTTGGGTTGAATTTGGTAAGGAACTCAAAAACCAGATTTCTTTCCACTAGCTTTCTATGTGTTTCAACATCCTTTGTACACCCCTAAACCATAGTCTCCATCAAATCAATCTCCTACCAAAGTGGTTTTAGCATGGAGAAGTAAACGACTAAGGGCTTCTCCCCCTATCTTAGATTATGCACATTGATAAAGTTCAGACATGCACTAGAATTTTGTTAGAACTAATAATAGAAGCATGCTAGAGGAGATAGAAGATAAAAGAAGAAAAGAGAAGGAGAAACTGGTTCGAACAAGAGAGAAAAATCTCTCTCTAGTCGGCCAGGTTATATTTATAATTTTCTATAATAAAACAAAAGGTTAGTTATGCCCCTACTTAAGTATGGGACACATCATCACTTAATTTAAACATTACACCTCATATCAAACATAAAAGGACTAAATTACCCCTATATAGTCGACATTAATACTCCCCCTCAGCTGGTGAATATATATCATATAGTCCTAGATTGTTACATATATAGTCCACTCTTCCCCAACCCAACCATTTGATAAACAAGTTTGCCCATTGACTTCTTGTGTTAACATATGCAGTGTCTATCACTCCATTAAGCACATTTTCTCACACAAAGTGACAGTCAACTTCTATATGTTTTGTTCTCTCATGAAAAACTGAATTAGAAGAGATGTGGACTATAGCTTGGTTGTCACAATAAAGCTTCATTGGAGTGCCAATCGAGTACCCCATCTCTTGTAAAAGATTTCTCAACCATACTAGTTCACAAGTTATATGTGCCATGGCTTTATATTTACCTTCTGCACTACTTCTTGCCACTACTATCTGCTTCTTATTCTTCCATTTCATCAAATTGCTATTAAATAGTGCATGCCCCTAGCTCCAATTATGTACAACTACATTTATTGTAAATGAGCAAAAGCACATTATTGTTTCATGTTGATATTGGTATGTTTCTGTTTAATTACCCCTTAAATTTGACACTTATGAGACTCGTGTTAGTTTAGAATATTTTCAATCGTTGGATAGATTTAGAGAGTTTATCCTACCAAGGTTGGCACTAATGTATGTGCTACCAAAAAAGTTGGGGTAGCTTGTCTCAGCTGATAGGGTTAGACCCAAAGCATATGCAGTGTGTGTTTAGATGAAACACTAAACGCGGACCATTTTCCAGTTATGCCCTAGACTTTGAAGATTGATGGGAAAAACTGGAAAGTTACACGTAACCTAGGCTTGATTATGGTATTGCACTAATTATTGGATTGAGTTGTCTTTAATATGCCAATCAATGAGATCCATCAAGGGTCAAAACCTGGGTATGTTGGAACAGTCTGAGAATTCATTTGAATGGGTGACCATAGTGATAGGGTCGGCCCCTTTGTCGAACAAAGTGATATAAGGCTTACACTCTCTTTAATGGAAACTTAAACTAGCGGTAATGGATTTCAATTATGTTTGAGATTTGGTTTTGCAAAATATATTTATATGCTGTATAAAAAAATGTTTGTAAAATATTTTAATTCCCAAGATCCATCCGAACAAAGAGTGTGGCACTGTACCTTACAACTAGGGGAGAGGTCCTTCCATGTCGGGCAGTGTTGTGATCATTATGGGTCGAGAGGTTAAGTGTAAGAGACCATTACAAGGCTGATTATCTGATGGGCTTTATCTTACATAAGTTCATTATCCTTAGATCTTCATAGGATGATTGAATTCAATGATCACTTAGGTGTAAATGTTGGGCCTATATTGAGCCCATGGTAATGTGCTTAAGGGTTCACTACGTTTAACGGTAAATTCGGCTAAGCCTTTTCATAAAGGATGGGCTGAATCCATGTGGACTTATGTGAGGTCATTGTAGGGTCCCACGCCATACAAATCAAGCTTAAATTGGCCATGCAACATCTTGGGTCATGAGCCTTTGAAAGAAATGGGCCTAAGGCCCATAATTAATAAGATTAAGCAAGTTGTCACATGACAACTGTCAAATTTGGGTTTGGAAATAAGTATGAAGCACCCATCCTCATAAGAGTATAAGGCTTATCTCTTAATAGAGTCCATATCCAAATTATATTTGGATAGTCTCCTAATTTTATTGGGAGAGTGCTCCATAAGGAGATAAAAGAAGAAAAGGGCGAGCCAGACTAAAACACCACTCTCTCTTGTTCTTTTTTCTTCTCTTTTGTCTTCCAAGAAACTTTATCATGACCAAGGCTTTCAAGGACTGGTAGAGGTCGGTTTTCTTATGATTTTTGCAAGAAAAATTCAGAGGAATTTTAGGCTCACCTTCCCCAGTTCGATCCAAGCAGTTGGGTTGCAGTTTTGCTAAAAATTGTGTTGTTGAATCAGCTTCACCTATACACTACGCCATCTTCAGTGTAGGCTGATTTTATGACTGATTTGGATGTGAACTTCCACCTTGGGATCTGCATTTGTGGTATCTATGTCAGGTATAAATCTCCCTCTTTGTTTGGTTTAAAATATGACCTAGTTCAGTGCAAGACCGACCCTGAAAAATGCAGTTTATCTGCCATCCCATTTGTTGAGCACCTTTCACATTGAACAAAAATTGTCATATCTCTAACGAGCCATTTGGACTTTTTCATATAATCTTTATACTTCTAAATCACTATTTCTAGTTCCTTTAGCCACCCTACTATTAATTTAGAGTCACCTTCAATGAGCAGTCTATCAAAGTTTAGCTATCTAGCAATCTGTACTCCTTGCAAGATTGCTTGAAACTCTGCAAAAACTGAATCCCTTATTCCAA